GCTACTTTTGTGTTATAAAACATTCACTATTTTCCTAGTATTTAAAAACTTGTTTTTTTAAAAAAATAATAACTAGACATGACATAAAAATGACACAACCCAGAAGCTATTTTGGAAGGGTAGGATAATCATAAATTTGCCATCCTTGCTTTTCCAAAAATACTAACTCATATTGTTCTCTCTGGATTTTAAACAGCTGCTGAGGTTTTCATTATGCATTTCACTTGGCTTGCTTGGTTACAGCTGTATGTTTATGTACCATGCACACCTGCAGCCTGACAATAACAGTGGTGTGAATGGTAGACAAAATTATCCTGGCAATGCTGCAAATAAGGATGTTTCTGGGTTTGAAGTTTGTATCTCTGAGAGCATGAGATGCCAGCTGGGGTTTATGTGGCATTGCATGGATGTAAGACTGCCAACTGACTTCATACCAAATAGAAAGATAATCTTGTATACATCCTTGTTGTCAGAATTATGAAGTTCTCATTATAGAATTATAGAGTTCTCATGACTAAAATCTTTTAAAATAAACATCAGTTCATTGAATGAGAACAGTAAATATTTTAATTAACATTTAATATATTTATTAAGTGGATAATATTGTAAGGATTTCTTTTTGTATATAGCTTTTTCCTATTTATTTTATTTATACAGCCTTTTTCTTATAGTTTGGCATCCTTTGCTGAATTCATTTTAAGAGCTCTAAAATGTGAAAATGAAATGTGTTCTGCTACATTACCAGCTTTGTCGTCTTATTGAGTTTGGGGTGGTTAATGCTTGTTCCAACTTCTGAGCTCTTATTCTTTACATTTTATTTCAGCGTGGGGCTTTGAAGGATGCATATTTTTATGACATAATCAGAACATGATTATTAGATTGATATATTCATAAAAAAAGAACTTTGGATAGGTATATTACATAACCTAATGTTTACATGCAGTATTTCTTGCAGACTTCCTTACTGAAATGTCATGACAATTTGGAAGGGTTTTCCCAACGCTGGTGTTATTGGACTTGTGTATCAATTAATTGGCAAAAGTTCCAACATTGTCTGCAGTTGTGTATGCATGGTAATTTTTCACAAGTATGCACAACATTTTGTACAGGTAGTCCTCATTTGCTGAACACAAATTTGTACTGGCAACTCTGTTGCTAAGTGCCTTGATCTTAAAGAAAAGCATAATTTGACTGCACCAGACTTACAACGTCAATTCCAGCTGTAGTTGTTAAGAGAATCACACATGGTCCTTTAGTGAAACATCAATGACTACAATTTATATCTCCTGCCGGCTTCTCTATTGACTTTGTTTATTGGAAGCTGACTGTGAAGGTCGTAAATGGTGATCATGTGATCACAGCAGTCTGTGACTGTTATAGATGCACATTGATTGCTAAATACCCAAATCACAATAGTGGCCGCAGGTATGCTGCAACAACCACAAACAAGTTCAAGGACCGGTTGTAAATCTCTTTTTTCAACATCATCATAACAGTTGCTGAAGGAGTAGTTGGTAACTATGGTAACTGAGGATTACCTTTAAAATAAAATCAAGTAAGAAAATGATGCTAAAATTTATTTAGCATTATTTTCTTGACCAAGAGCTTTTACAGTTTTCAAACACCTGATTTAAATAGAATTTTGGATCTCCTTTGTGAAGTTATGCTACAGCCTGTCATTTATGTAATGATAAATTTAGCACTTCTGAAAGATTTTTCATTTCAAACGTGTTACACTTTCTACTTACTGCCCATATATAATTGAAATTTGCTCTGGCACATACATCTTTCAAAGATGTTGGCCTGTAATTTCTTCATATTGTATGGTTTATCAGCAGCATATGTCATCAATCCTGTAGGGCTTGCTGAAGTCAGCCCCAGCTTGGCAATTCAGCTGCAAACAGGTGAATAGGAAGAGAGTAATTTGTGCAGTTTGGTGATTGTCAGACAAAAAAGACCCAGTCTGCATTTTTAACAGACTGCAGGTCTTGCATGAGCCAGACAGAAAAACAGCAAATAATTCCAGGGTTGACATATTTTCCTTTGTGCCATTATGTGGTTTGTTAAAATTGGAAACAATGAATGTAATAAATTTACAGAAACAGGTGGTAAGATGAAAGGAAGGGGATCAGTAGTGTACATCCTTTTGTTCAAAGTGTAGTTGGCAGTAGTATAGTTTTGTTAAGTTATAAAGTGATTCTTCCTAGCCACATCTGTTATGCAGTATTTTGTAGTATAGTAAAACTTCAGGTTTTTTTCGAAATAGAACAAGTACATTTGAGCCTCATATTACATCTTTAATCTGGAAGAACTTTTATTATATATTTTATCAATAGTAATTGGAACTGAAAATTTAAAAGCCAAATAGAAAACTGAGTGGTTTTTTTAAAAAATGAAAAAGGAATTCCTGGAAGCGAATTGTGTCGTATTAATTATTTATACTTGTGGTGATAGTAGAGCATACTGTGTTCCCAATGACTAATGCATTGTCTAGAATTGTAGAGAAAATGAGATCATTAACTAATGAAATAGTTTAATTGGTATTGGTAAATCAAGAAGATGCCAGATTTGGTTGTTTTTTTTTTTAAGGTACTCAAGGCAGCTGCTATTTTGTGAACTAAGAATTAATGTTATTTGTTTTAGGAGGGATTGTCATTTTTCAAAAGTAAATTCACTACAAACTTGACTCTACTTGGATAAAATCTATAGTGGTCATCAGAGTATCATCTAGCCCTGTTATCTAGGATTCTTTTTGGCCTGTGAATGAACTCTGGGAAGGTTTATAGGATACTACCTAGACTATACTCTGCCCCAAACTGGTGCATCAATTGTATCCTTACCTGCTACAAGAGGACCTAGGGATAGTAACTCATGTTCTCACCACCACCTGCATAGACTGCTGCAGCATAGTTTATGTGGAGCTACCTTTAAAGACTACACCAAAATTAAGAATTAGTTCAGAATGTGGTGGCCTGTATCTTAACTGCTTCCTGATGCTGGGAGCAATTTATTTGTTTATTTATAAATGGGAACAGTTTATTTAATTGGGGGAATTTTATTTATTTATTTATTTTCTATGTCCATTCATCTCAACAAAGTAATTCTGGGCAGTGAACAATTTTTTTAAAAAAAAAAATTAAACAATTAAAATAATACAAACATTAAAATACATAGTAGCTGAGGATAAAGCACCCATCATAATGACTAAATTAACCATTAAACTATATCCTGCACATACTTGGGGCTCCCGGTCTGGGCAAAGAACCAGCTCTTTATGAAAGCCAGCAGGATTGGTGCCATCCTGATGTCCCGTGGGAGAATGTTCCATAAGGTGGGCGTTATGGCAGAAAGTCTTCTAGGCCTCTTCCGGTGGCGTTTCTTTGCTAATAGGATCTGAAGCATGCCCATCCTGCCTGAGCCACAATAGAAAACTGAATGGTGTTTGTTCTTACACTTTGTTCTTCCTCTTCCAACTGGAGGAGCTCATCTTCCAATATCAAGTTGACATTGTTCTGGTTGTAAATGGCTATTTATTTGCTTGGCAGAATATTTAAGTTGCCATTTTTTTTCACTAGATTGTGTTTGGTCTAAGTCAGGGCTGTCAAACTCCCGGCTCGCAGGCCAGATATGTCATGCACTGCCATGCCCAAGCCCCGTTTAGCGAAGGGGGGAAAAAGTCATGATAAGTCATGTGACGCCGCCGTGGCGACGTGAGTTTGACACCTGTGGTCTAAGTACTTGTCTATGCCAGCTGAGGAATTCTGGGAGTTCATATTTCTTAAAGTTGTTGGAGGTTGAGAAAAACTGGTATAGTTCAGTATCATTGAGATGTGGAAACCTTATTTTTTTCAAAGTAATGATACACAAAGAAGTGTTTTATATAGAGAACATTAAAAGTAATGTTTTAAAAAGAATTTTTATGTTTATCCATACCTTTGAAAATAAGGTTGCACTCTTACAATTTTATCAATGTTTAAGAATCAGTGAAGATATAGGTATGTAGATGCAAATTTTTTCTAGACCCCTTTCCAATTTTAATTGGAATATTTATTTTCTGAAGTTTTTTAAAAATGCTCGTGTGAGACTGAATAAAGTATGGTAATATGAGCCTAAGAATCAGAAAAATTACTTAGAATAATAATTATGATATGGTTAGGCTTTTTTTTCCTTTTCGGAACTGCATTTTATACCGAAGACTGCTGAGCCAACTGTAAATATGAGATGCAACAAAGAAGGTTCTGTTTCAAAGTGGACTGTTTTTAAAAAAATCTTTCTTCCAATTAAGAATTGGGGTCCATTAATTTTTTTTGACATTTATTTACTTTTTAAAAACAGGTGCTGAAACTATTTTTTGCAAATACAGTGAATAAGGGTAGTTTTGAACATAGAAAAGATGAAATAATATGAATGGCCACAGCCCAATATAATGTGGGTGGGTGTTTACTGAGCTTTCCTTGTACAACTGTGCCAGAGTTCCGTGCTTCTGACCTGTTACACCTCCCACTGTTACAGTTCAGGTCTCTCTTCAGGAATAGCTGCCAGTAAGTTTTTCACTTGTGGCAAATGGCTTCCTTGGACGTGCAGGGAGAAAAAAAAGAGACCACCAAACCTATTTTCATTTTTGACCTCAAGTAATTTCAACATTGTTTTCGTAAAAGGATGACAACTTCTGTTACATGCTGTGCTACCCAGCTGCATAAATTTAATTTATATTTTGTAACTGATTTGAATGGTTTCAAGGAGTCATCTATTATTTTAATTGATTTAACTCTGGGAAATTATACATAAAGCTAGAGAAACAAATCTTTACAGAAGTCTAACATGAGCAGAAAGTTAACTGCAAGTATATGTATCCAGCTAACTTACAGTGCTACGTTTTGAGTTTTATTGTGTTAACAGTGTATTGAAAGTAAATACTTGTAATATTTAAATGTCTTGATGAAAAAATATAAATATGTTGAATTCACAGGCTAGTACATTTACATTTTTCTTTTTATTAGGTGTGAAAACTAAGAATCCTCAGCCGAGTCTTGAGGGTTCAATCCAAAATGTTGAATTGAAGTACTGTAGCACATTGCTGGTCAAATGTGCCTCTGGAACCATCGGATCAATAAAAATTTGTGCCAAAGCCCCAGGTATGTGCAGCTGGACCATGTAAAAGTTGATGGCCCTTTTAGGAGAGTTTGTCTTGCTTTTCACAAGGAGGATTACTGAAACAAGAATGTGGTATTGTTCCTATGAATCAAATCTATTTCTTAATTTCTATTTTTGAAAACAAATTTGGATGATGAAGCATTGCAATAAGAATACTTCTATCAGTGCTAATGAACTGTACCTCGGTGGTTACACAGAGTTTTAGTTGTGCAAAAGCTAAGCATAAAAAATTAAAATTATATCTACAATGAACTTAACAGAAAGTCCAGTTGCCTCTTGAAAAAGCAGCTTTGAGACAACCATGACCTGGATGACTGAAAATCTCCATAGATGTTTAACACATAGTTATTATTAACAAAGTCTTATGTCAAATGCTTTATTTTAGTTTTACTAATAGAAAAAAGTTATACTATCTGATTTTTTAAACTGTAATACATGATGCTATTATATTCTGTTCAACATCTCTTCCTTGCACTCTTAATATTTTTTTAACCATCTATCCAGGTGATGGCGGAAAGGAGAAGCGTATCCCTTTAATACAAGGTCCATCCGATACCAGAGATCTACACAACAGCAAATGGCTCAAGGAAAGCAGAAAGCCAGAATCACTCTTTGCTCCAGATTGGTTAGCTTTCACCATTCAGATCCCTCAGTGTAAGGATTACAGCTTCAGTTCTGGTAAGTGTCAAATTCTTGGAAAAAATGTACCTAGAAGGAGATGGAAGAATTTTATGAGCATGTAAGAGAGCTTCAAGGAAAACAGATGTGTTTCAGAAACCGAGATTCATTACAATCTCAATGGAAAAGTTGAGGGTTGTTTTTTTTTTTTTTTCATTTGACCAACTTAGACATTTTCATTTAGATATTGCATCCATCTTTCTAACCGTGCTACTTTATTTATTAAGTCCATTATAGATAGATTGTTATTGCTATTATTAATATTTTTGGTATGGAATATACCAAAAGTAAGTATCCTTTTGTGATATGTTTCAAGGCAATATGTAAACTTTTAATTTGTTTACATAAAGATTTGTTAACTTAAATCAGCTGGTTGGTTAAATCTTAAGAGTTGCCAAGTTTGAAAAACACTGACTTAAAGGGATTAAATATTCTTTGGAATGTTCAGAATGATGAACAAATTTTGAAAAAGATATTTTGCTCACACTGTTACTATGGTGACATAAACTTTAAGAAATTGAGAATTTAAAGAAACAGTTGACCCCTTTTCCTTATGATATCATAAAGAGAAAATGCCATAGAATACTCGTATTGGAACTGAACCAATGCAAAATATGATGGATGGAATATAAGAAATTTAATTTGTTGGAATAAATCAGAATTTAGTTAAGTTTCATGTTCATTATATAGGTGGCTCTCTTTATTTGCTGGGGTTTTGTTAAAGTTGAACAATCACGGATAATGAAACCATAGATAATGGGATGTTGAAAAGATACACTTCATAAATAATGCAAAGGTCTGTTTGCCATTTTGCTCATGTGCAAAATATATAAAAACATTTTAAAAATTCTCCTCCAAACAGAACCTTACACCAAAAATCATGGATATTCAAAACCCTTTACCATAGATAATGATCTGATCTGTATATACTAACCACCAACTCACAAAACAGTGGGTAATGGGACCACAGATAACTAGGGCCACATGTATTTTGTTTGTAGTTCATTATGGTGTTAAATATTGGATATTGAAAGCTCTTTCCACTATTTTTGTAGGGAACAATTTATCAGTTCAGTTCAGGGAAGAAATACAAGAAAAAGATTTGGGTTCTTGTCAATTCATTTAAACATCAGATGTGGTTTAAAGACAGTTACACTTATTCCACATGCTTCTACAGGTAATCCTTGATTTATGACACAATTGGGACTGGAATACTGGTCATTGAGTGAAGAAGTCATTTAGCAAGACATCATGTGAGGGTTTCACTCAATGCCCGTAATCCTTCACTCCCAGTTGTCACTAAGTGATTATGTGGGTTATCAATAGCAATAGTACTTAGTCTTATAGCATTAACCATTCCATAGTGCTTTACAACACACTCTGGGTGGTTTATAATGTCAGCATATTTCCCCCAACAATCTGGGTCCTCATTTTACTGACCTCACAAGAGTGGAAGGCTGAGTCAACCTTAAGCCCCATCGGGATCTAACTCCAGGCTGTGAGCAGAGTTGGCCTGCAATACTGCATTCTAACCACTGTGCCACCAGGGCTCTTAAGGGGATGTATCCCCAGATAAGGAGTATGGGATGCTTCAGGGGTGGGAGAGACCCTGGAAGGATCTGCTCAAGAGCTGAAAATCCTTCCTGCCAAAACCCAACCAGGATTTTTAGCCCCTGAGTGAAGACACATATGTGCTCACCTGTGCCAGGCCTCGCAAGGCCTCTCCCACCTATTTAAGGCTCCCTGCATTCTATACCTTACTGAGCTGGCTCTCTGCTCTCTGCTCGGATTTCGTCTTCCTGTTGTTTCTGGGGACTGGTTGAAAGAATTACCTACCAAAGGTGTTCAGGTTGTATTCGGCTTTCCTCATGAGGCAATTCTTTCAGCTAGTCCCCAGAGACAAACTGGATTCCTCTCTGCAGTGGCAGCAGCTTGCAACCTTCCCTGCTGGTTTCCCCATTGACTTTGTAAATGCCAACAGATTCTCCAGATTAGGATCCAGATTAGGATCATGTGACCCAGATCACCCAGATTACGATCATGTGACTGCAGTGATGGTGATGCAGTATTTTGTGACAGTGGGAAGTGTTTATGGGCCACAAAGTATCCTTTCTGAGGCCGTAATTTTGGACCATCATTAAACAATGGTCATAACTCGAGGACTGCCTATATAGTTCATATTTCAAAATTGGCTTGACCTCTGTTCATTCAAAGGGAAAATAAACCAGGAAGGATATAAACAGAATTCTACAAATTTAGAAAAAAATGTTTCATCTCCAGAAAGAATTTTATAATAAACGGATAAGTCAATTAGAAAAAAAAACAAATTGAGAATTTACAAAGAAGGTCCTTTTTCTTACTGACTCCTTTTATAACAACTCAATCCCATTTTTCATCCCTCAAAAAGAACCCCCCTCCAATCTGCCCAGGACAGCTGTAGGGAACAAGATGTTGCTGGCAGCAGCCCCAGCAACCATGACCAATGCTGAGGGGCGCTTAGGAGTAAAATGTAGAAGATTACAAGATGCCTGGTCTAGTAGGAGGTCTTGTTATAAAAAGGATTTTATTCTTCTTTCATGATGAAGGTTATATGTTTTTTTTTAATCAATGAGTCATATAAATTTGTTTGCACCTCTTAAAAATTGCATAGAATAAATAAAAATATTGACTATAAGATGAAATCTATAGTATTATAGATTTAAGAATAGTACTATATATTTCTTTCATTATACCCAGTAAAGGACAACTCTTTTACTGAAATCTGCAGAAACATAAATTACAGCAGCAACAACGTTATTTGATACCTCCATATGTTGCAGAGGTTAATTTTCTTCAGTGGGGTTAATTGGAAAGGAAGAGATGGGCATAAAATTCAGTATGGTTGCCTCATTCTTTTTTTCCCCTTAGTATTGAAGTTTGGATAAAATGAAATTGTCATTTTTTCATTTCAACTTTTGGTCAAAGATGGAATTCATTCAAATAGAGTTTGGTTGGCAAAATAATGATTTTATATCACTAGTACATAACACCCACACACATGCACATGCACACACACAATTTTAAAAATAGTTTATCTTGAAGAATTTTTAATTAAAGACAATTCACATTTATGGTTTGGGCATAAAGCATAAAAATTATACTCATCTATCCTGTTACACTTCCTCTTCTCTCCCTGAGGATTTCACTCCATACATTATGTGTAATTGTTGCTGATTTTCTATCATGTTCCCACTGGATTTCTGCTCCAAAAAAGAAAGAAAAAAAATCTTATCCCTCTGATGACAGAACTTGTTTCAATGATTTCATGCTCTTAGCATTTTTGTTCACGGGAATTAGGAGCAAAATGTAGTTGCAGCTGAACATGGCAACTATTTTTGTAATGCTGAAGTTTATGCTTTGTTATTGGAGCTAAATGAAGAGATACAGGTGTTCTCCAGCTCAGTCTGCTGGGATTTCTTGATGGTTAAGGCTTGCCTGTGCTTCCAGAGTCAAACAGCAGCTGTGAGACAAGGATTTATGCTTTTCTTAGAACTTTGGGATTTTAAAATGTTACATTTAATCACAAGCACAGAAAGAGAGCAAATGTTAAAGATGTTACATATACAAGTTGGAGGTTGATCTCTTTTCCATATGAACTAGTTGTGGGAAGAGAGGAGCCAAGTTCTCTTTAATCTTAATGGATAATTTTATAAGATTATGATATGTTCCAAAACATGGATATCAGGATACTTATATTATGGCATACAATAATTCTAACTCTTTCTCGTTATTCACGTGATTTTATTTTTGAGTGCCTGGTATCAAAGGAATAACGATAATCTGGTACTTTGGATATTGTCATATATTGAATTGTATTTATCCAGGAACATGGTCAAACCCAAAATTAAAAAAATGTTTTAAGCTCCATCAAATTTAAATAGTCCAGCAGATATTGATCTGTTCCCTGGCCCCCAAATCACCTGGGTTTAATATATTTTTTTAATGTGAAGGGAAATTAAAAATTGAAAATTCATTGAAATTATTATTAAAAACTGCTAGTTATAATAATCTAAAAAGCAGAGACTTCACCCTGCCAACAAAAATGTGTATAGTCAAGGCTATCATTTTCCCAGTTGCAATGTATGGTTGTGAAAGTTGGACCATAAGGAAGGCTGAGTGTCAAAAGAATTGAGGCCTTTGAACTATGGTGCTGGAGAAGACTCCAGCGAGTCCCTTGGACTGCAAGGCGATCAAACCGGTCAGTCCTAGAGGAGATCAACCCTGACTGCTCTTTAGAAGGCTAGATCCTAAAGATGAAACTCAAATACTCTGGCCACCTAATGAGAAGGAAGGACACACTGGAGAAAAGCCTAATGCTGGGGAAGAAGAAGGGGACGGCAGAGAATGAGATGGCTGGATGGAGTCACTGAAGCAGTCGGCTTGAGTTTAAATGATCTCCGGGGGATGGTAGAGGACAGGAAGGCCTGGAGGAATGTCGTCCATGAGGTCACAATGGGTTGGACATGACTTTGCAACTAACAACAAGTTATAATAATAATTTGATGAGTATATTGTCATTCTTTTGCAGGAATAAAGTGTGAGCTTCTAAATTACTTTTCTATCTCAGGAAGATTTATAAATGGATTCAAATGTCAGGGTGTGAAAACATATTGATAAAGCATTTCCTAGAGCTAGTTGATACTCAAATACTCTGGTAATAATGGAAAGTGAACATGCTAAAACATTAAAAATGGTAACGACAGCATTAACTGCATCCAGAGGTCTGGTGTAATGAATAGGAGTTAACTACAAAATCTCAGTAATAATATTTCTTGAAGAATCGTCTTCCTACTAGGAAGAACACCCCGTTATTTTGTAACTTTCATACATGTGCATATAGAAAATTAGTCACACGCTGGAGGAAAAATGCCTTATGATTACCTCAATTGGCTCGGGAAGTAATTTTCTAAACTATAATGTGGTACCAGCTCCTGATGACAGGGTTTAATTATAATTTTTTT